GGTTAAGCTATTCCATTTCCTTTACTTATTCTGTCATTTAACCACCATTTCCTTCTTTTTCTATGTGCTTTCTTTGTCCAGTCAAAATTTACAAATTAAAATAAGACAGTGGCCAAAAATGGAACTTTTTTAAAATATTAGTTCTGCCTTCCACTATCAATTTGCTTATAACAGCTCTTGTATACTTCATTCGAGTCAAAAAATTTTTTACTAAGCGTGTATTGGAAACACTGCGAGATGTTCTATGAAGGCATTCTTCGCTTGGACGTGTTATTCTTAAGCAAATTATTGATTAACTTTTAGTTTTGATTCACATTATTCGGAATGATTGTGATTCGGGAAGCTGTTATAGCGCAAATGAAATGGTTGTTGGTATACATTGATGGTATTTTGCATAGTGTGTTATTATATTACGGTATCTGCTCGGAGTGGTTACATACGACATTTGCGCTGTCTTCTTTCCTTCTTTGGAGGATTGTTGATAGATAGTAGTCTGCTTTACAATGTTCAAGTAATTTCGTTCCAAAAATATTCCCTTCGTGGTTTGCATTTGTCGCACTTGACTTTGTTCCTTATAATTTTCTTTTTTTTTAAATATATTGCTTTCTTGGCAATTCGGGTAGTTCTTTTTACAGAGTTTAATGGAAGGACTAGATTTCATATTTCAGCTACATTTTTTTACCTGAAAAATAAATGGGTTAGTTTAGAATTACAGGGTTTTGTACATAAAAGTTTACTTTTCCGCGCTTTGATTTCGATTCTTTTTTAATGTAAGGTCTCGCAAAAAGATTTTCAATCTTATTTTTAATCATGCAGCGAAGTTACCTTCATATTGGAAGCTGAGTGAGATTGAAAAGAGGTGAATTTTTAGTGGTTATCATTGCTTCTCGTATTTCGTACTTTTCATCATTGTGTGTTAATATATTTTATCAATTATTATCATTGTTGTCTTGCTCTGTTCATATGAAAGAAGTTGATATTTCTAAAAGGAAAGAAATCATTATTATGGTTTTATATTTGGATAAAATTGCTTTACCGTAACTACTCATTTCGCATTTGAATACGATAATGATACCCTTGTAAAAGTTCTACTAATTTCAGTGCTGTTGATATGTTAATTTCATTATTCCCTCTTATTCAGATATAAACGAATGATAACTGCATGAATTTCATATTAAGCAAAAAAATTTTTAGTGTTCTCTGATAGTTCAAAAATATTGTGAAAAGCGTGAACTTGGCACTTTGTTTTTCACCATTAACTTTTCTAAGACAGCAGTTATTCATTTGGGTGGTCACTCTGCTTTCATTGATCAGGTTTTGTTGAACTCGTATTGTTGGAGTGTGGTGAGAAAAGTGTGGGTAGAGGTTTAGGTCTGCTAATTTTATTTGTTTGCTTAATTCAACAGTATTGTGATACTATTAAGAAAGTAGCTATCGAAGCCTTAGCAATTAAAACTTTCAAAGCTTGTCATTTGACCATTACGAAATGGCATAGGTCATTCCCACCGTATTTCCTCTTCACAATGATATAATATAATTAAGACAACTCAAAAGATGTCGAAATGTATTTTGTGCATTTTTTATTCTTTGTATGTATATAAGTGAATAGACGACGAATTTAATATCAGGAAGAGATGTTTGTGGTTGGATAGATGAGGTATTATAGAAGGTGTATTAAATGCACTATTTGTAAGTAAAATTTAATTAGATCGATTGTCTCCTTGGTAACGCTCAACTGTTGCGGTGTATGATGATTAACGAAGCAAGGCACGGTTTTCTAACTGCAAATGCTTGAATTATCCATCTTTCCATTTCCGTCATTCGAATTCCACAATATTGCTTCATGAAGTATGTTGTTCACTATCCACTTTATCTCCTTACATCGTCCCCACTCATCTTTCAGATCTCATCTCATTTTTTGAACCGTAAAAAATTGAGATATTCTGTACTATGAGTGTCTTCCCTGAATCGTGAATACATCATCATCATGTGTATCTATCCCGAAACATAAAGCAGTACTGCTCACCTGTATTATGCGGATGTTATGAAGCATGGATTTGAATTATCTTCCACTATAATGGGTATTAATAAATATTACACTAATTGTAATGTGATTTTGACGAAGAAATGGAGTGCATTCTTTTCTTTGTCGTTAATTTCCAAAATTTTCATTATGTTTGAAAGGTTTTATGGGAAAAAAATAAACGTGAAAATACAAAGAAGATCATATCTTTAAGCACATATCATTAGTAGATCACTTTGATAGCGAAAAATTAACTGGTAAAAATTAATTTGGATAATAAGTAAATATGACTTCATTGACTATCCGGCTACCAGCTTCAATTGGCAGTGAATTTGATAAGATTGGCTTAAAATTAATGTCTCCATTAAGACTGGGAATATTTTTCTCAAATATTTCAGTTATTTTCTCTACACATCAATTTGTTGACTCAAAAAACAAAAAATTCAGCTCTTTTAAATTCAAATATCTATCGTTCATAGGATCACACTATACCATCTGGACTTTTTAACCTTTCAAGATTACTTTTGTTAATTTGGTGTATTAATAATTAAATATTTTTAAAAGAAGGTAAGTCCAAATATATTGGCAAAGGTTCAGTAAAGCTTCAGTACTACTTTTTATAAACACAAATGTTCATTTCATCTTCCCATCCATCAAAAATATTTCTGAGATTTGATTGACACATGCTTTTATCGTTGGTATTATGGATTCACTCCGGAAAAGTGATGTGCAACTATTTTCGAACTGCAAATATCAAAAAGAAAGCTTCAGCAAAGTTCCAGATGGTTTTTTTTCCTGCAGTCCTTGTGATAAAACAATTTCTAAAAACTTCAAAAGTAGCAGTTGTATACCACTGTTTACCTTATATCTAAATATTTCAGTGTTAATAGCTGATACACATACAGACAACAGATAGTTGCATTTTAAATCAAAAATAATTAAAACTCGGCTAATTAAACCAATCAATTAAAGTGAATGGAAGTTTATTTTCCAAATTTCATTCAGTATGACCGTCAAATTTCAGTTTTCAATGTTGTAACAATTTTATAATTCAATACTACAACAAATTTTAAAAGTTCTCTGCAGATAATTTTTATGGAAAATTGTCAAAAAAAAGCAACTTTTGGAAGGTTTTGATACAACAGTAAAAACAAAAAAGGTAATTAGTGCAGATGTCATAAAATAGCATGGCGAAAGCAACCAATATTTCACGTTAACGGCGAACTACCACCACCACCACCTGCCTTTAACTTGCAGTGAACTTTATAAAATTGGTTCAAAATTATTTGAAATTGATATATCCATTAAGAACAGGAATAAATTTTTCAAATATTTTATTTGAACTTTACAGCTCAACTAACAATTCAAAATCCTTACAATAAAAAAATTGAGGAAAAGGAGGAATTTGTTCTTTTTATGTAGAAATCATGCAGAAATAATTCACCTTCTTCAGAGTTGCATAAATTTTAATGTTTATTGAGTGACAGTCATTTTAAATAAATATTTGTTGCAGGAAGAATGAGATTTGGTTTGCGATCGAAATAGTGGAGGACAAGGAAAGACTAACGCTGCAACTTTCTTGGTCTTTTCAGTTTCGCAGCTTCTTCGGCTTTCCTTTCCGCCCGTAAAACGCAAGCCGAGAAAAACTAACGAAAAGTTAAAGCTGACCAGGTGGAAGACTTGTGATTTTGTTGTTTATACATTTTCAGCAACAGCAAATCCGAGCTCTCCACCCGGAGGCATGTCGGTAAACCTTACAAGTTAGTAAAATACTTAAAGATCAATTCAGTTCATTTCATTTTTATGATCCTAGTGGTGGCAAAAGATTGAAAAACCAATTCCGAAACCGCACTTTCCTTTATTCACTGTTCTAAAATGACAAAAATGATCAATGAAAGCTCGCCTTTTTTACACCCTCCTTATATATTGCATGTGAAAATTTGACCCACTAACACCGTTACTTCTTAATTAACCGACCACTCTTTGCAGTTACTAAACCATTATGGTTTGGAAACTTTATTAAGCGCATTAAAAACTACACAACTGTGTTGCTCATGAATAATGAAAATTGGTATGAAAGTGAAGGCATTTTACAAATGTCAATATTCAATACAGCAAGCACATTTCCATAATTAATCCTATTAGGCCTTAAATTTAAGCCAGATAAGTCCACTTTGTTAAGTTGGGATATCTCCATATTCTGGGTATTTCTGAATAAAATTCTTGATAATGCTAAATGCAAATGATTTCGATTTTTCTTAAGGATGTAATCGATTAGATCGAAATCCTCATCAAATAAATAAGCACTAATGTATACAATTGCATCATTGCATTTTTCTTTTAACTCCTAAATTTTAAACATAATTTTGAAATTCTGGTAAGAATTTTAAGAAAGGAGAAAACATGGCAGCAGAAATAGATGAAATATTATATACAAATCCGGAAACAAAAACTAATAAATAACAAATTAATCTAACAAACATAAAAAATCGTGTTATCCATCAGCGGTAATTACTAGAAATTAATCTGCTAGCAAATTATATTTTATGGGGAAACCGTACTTTAAACTAAAATATGCATAATTGTGTAAAATTTACTGTCAAGTGGATAAGAATCTCTCTTTCTTCCATTTCAAACCACAGTTTATCGTTTTCTAGTTTTTCACTTCAACTCCAGTTAGAATCACCATTTCGCACTCAGAAAGACGTGCAGAGCTCAACTTTTCAAAAATTGCAGTGAAGATATTTTATGATAATAGGATTCTATTATTACATCTTAATTTGTGTACCATTACATTCTTTTTCTATTTTACCTCATTTATCTTCCAATCATTATAAAACACTTACACCCTGGAAACTTCATTTTGTTCTTCGCCTCAGATCTATTCATCTAAATCAAATGTGAAGGGTTCAACAATAATTCGAAAGGTTTTATATTTCCCAATATGAGATAAATTACAATTAAACAGAAAATTTTACTATGCATAGCTGGTTTTCAATTTTGAGCACACACAGGCGGGTCTACAGTTGGTAGCGCGTCGTCGTCTTGGCGTGACACGTTCGGCTGGGGATGATTCACTGGTTGAATAATGTACAGTGATCAAATTTTCTAATGTTTCCAACATTTCTTCCATATGTTCGATTTGCTGTTGAGTAATGCATGGCTCACCGTTTGGGAACGTACGTTCGAGCGCTGCGCAACGTCGCATTTCAACGACGCACGCATTTACACAACCAATAAATTGCGATGCATGTCGGGTAAATTCAACACCTGTAGTACATTTTTGTTAAAACATCGGTTCTTCCAAGAATTAAATCATTGTCATAATGAATTAAGATTTAATAGTTTACAGAACTCGAAGCATTGAATGCAACGTGATGCTACTTCACATATATCTCATGAGATTTTAAATAATTTCACTTTTAAACCTCTAATGATTAACCTTCTGGACGCCAATTTGAGTAGTAAAAATAGTAATGAAAGTATCAATGAAAATCTTAATAGCAATAATATAATTTGCTCGAATTTTTTTTTCAACACAGCTCTTAAACAGCACTTACTTTCATGGCGAAGTTGAGGTAGAATGCAACTTTTGGCCGCTTCACAAGCTCTAATGCAAGTCCGACCAAACGAATCAACATCACTACGAAGTTGTAGTCCATCTTGTCCCGTACCAATACACTGGACCACATTTCGAAACTGCGCTAACTGTACATTAGAGTCGTGTACCAGCTTAAATATAATGATGCGACATTATTCCACTCTTATCAGTATGTAATGCACACTGCTTAAACATTAAACAATACTTTGGCTAATCGCATATCAACCATACTAATTCGTTTCTATCTTTAATCATTAATGCTTCATCTTACTGTAACTTTCATGCAGTTGCAGTTTACGCTGACATCACTACCAATAATAATTAAGACAAATAATAAGGAGATGAATACCTCTTGCAGCTTCCTCACACTTGAGAGAGAATGTTGTCGCAGTTTGGAGGCCATTTAGTGTCCCAAGCAATGGTTAGCACTGACGCTGCTTCTGCTGCTGGCGCTAATGACGATGGCGATGTTTGCGAATCACTGGGCTTATCCTATTGATCGCTATAGGAAGCATTCTCGCAGCATCAACAACATCACCTTCTCTCAGTGAAGTCTTGAAAGTAACTGTTCCAGGATAACCTCCCTTCCAGCACTCTACCTGCATTCGACCTCCTTGATTCGCCCATCCTCACTATAACATGTCCGTCATATCATCCCTGCTTAGGCCTAAGAATTAGTGACTAATCTCAAGCACTGTATTCTATTAGTTTCGTAACATTTGCTAGGGTAGTAAAATCTCTGACCCACTGTTTGACACATTTTCATGGGGACTATTTAACACATTCATTGAGCCTAATCCCTCACTGTTTCCCACTACTAATTTATTGCGTGTGTAAAGAAAAAACCTGAAGCGTTCTCAATATTTTGAAGTTTTTAAGAAAGTAAACTCGTCGGAGATTTAATTCATCATAACAAATAATACTCTCGTTATGCTTTTCTTTCACATTATGCGGAATGAAGGTGATTATAAAAGTCGACGATTAAATAGCTGAAATGCCTATTTAAAGATGGTGTAATATTTGAATCGAAATAGTCAGTGGGGCTAGCTTCAAAATTGTCTGCTAGGTACAATACATGTTTGGAATACAGAGTAGCAAACACTGTAGACTTTTACTAAATGCGCTCAGAAACATCACAAAAAATCAAAAATATTAGTGAAAACTCGAAAAAGCGATATACAATTTCAACGACAATAAAATGCAAAGTTTAACATTGAAATTTAGTCCTGACTTTTCTATATCTACACTAGTACCGCAAGTTTTTAAAAAATATGTTGTTCGGGTTTGCTTATCTATACATAAATAGAAAAACGAAAAAGGAAAGATTTACGAGATAAGGTATGCCTTCTTTGTATTCCTCAAAGATATACGACCTCTCATTAGAAAGAAAAAAATCAGCATATATGTATTTCTTTTGTCTTGATTCATTCATATATATCTACTTACGTAAGGTATGCTGAAAGTAAAAACGGATCAATCTGACAAGATTTAATTACTTATAAGAAACACTGAAAATATTAGCATCCCTACTAAACGATTATCCTCAGTCTTCAATATAAATGTCATCATGGTAACTGTTACTGCGGGCATCACCATCGCTATTGTCGTAATCATCTTCAACAACATCATTCTCATCCGAATATTCGAAAAAGACAGCTTGTTCCACTTCCTCAGGAACACCTTTTGCTGGTAGTTCAAAGTGTGGGCCCCATAGAAGTGGAATTAAAGGTTTGTTAAATTTCTTTGATTTTTGTTCGAGATTATACTTCCATTCATTTGCCTGAAATTACTAAAATGTTGGGATATGAACTTATAATTTCTAGCTTTCAACCATAGTTGATGTTAAATTGGGACCTGAAATTCACGACTGTCCTCAACAAGATGAAAAGCGAATTCTAATTCAAAAGAATAATGGAACTAAAGTTCTTAACATTAATGACGCGTAGCCAGATTTCCCTGTTAATACTCTTAATAAGTTCATGGCTTATTCGAGACAGATTTCAAAAAACGGACTATCAGAATTTTTAAAGTAATGACAACAATAACAATAAAGCACAGAAAACTGACATCAGCTTGAACTTAATTATAAGAGACCTACCGTCCAATGGTTAACGTAGAAATGTGTAAGTAATTTACAGCAAAGTTTGTTCTCTTTGTTCCCTTCCCATGCTTAATAATAAACCAAAGCACAATATTAACTACTAATATTTACATTACTAGCAATTTATATTCAAAGAAGATTAAGATAATTCGAATTATAAAATTTAATAATTGGCAATCAGAAAAAATGTGAAATTGCAATTATCAAAATTAATGAAAAGAGCAGATAATTTAAAGATACACAAGATAATTCAAACAAATCGTCCAAAAATCCAAATGAAATTACCACAGCTCTGAGACGTTCCGCACGTCTATTAGAGTCTTCGCGATATTCAAGACGATCTTGTTCATCTTCACCCTCACCTTCTGATAGATATCCATGTTGAACAATAAAACCATCACTGTCACTCGAGTGACCAGAATCCTGAAAGCTGGAGTACCAGGAATCTCGAATTTATGATTGGCCAAAAATTTATCATCAGCAAAGACCGCGTCTCAATCAACAGATTTCAAAAGCATTATTATTTCAAGAGAGAGCGAGCAGAAAACATCAATATATAGGCAAGGACTTAAGAAGCAAAAGGAAAAAAATGTGCTTGCAAAAAACATCAGACTTTACCAACAGTAGCCATAAATTTTTTGCATGTTTTTCAGTAATAAATAAATCTAGTAGTTCAACGAAGTTTTTGGCAACCACAAAAATATAACTTCAGTTAATCTAAAAAGATTTCTTCATAAGTTTTACATAGATTCAATACTAATAATCACCTAATTGAAAAATACCTGGAAACATTACCTCTTCATCTTCACTCATTGTACTTTCATCGCAGTCATCACCCTCTGGAATTTCCCACTCCTCGTCTGAATCTACTTCATAATCTAATATCTATAAAATAAAAGCAAATGTTAGATATTTGCTTACAAAAATTTACCAATTTTAAAATAATCAAAAATTCTGAAGTCAGTCCTTTTTAAATCGAACCAGATACCTCCGTATCTTTAGCGAAAGGTCTCCTGCCTGTTATAACAGTGCTTCGTTTCCTCCATGTCCCATAATACGGAGGCCTCCAGTTATCATGAAATTGAAACAGCTTGGCTCGATTTAGTTTTCTAAAAACCATATTAACATTTGATGAAAAAAAAAAAAAAAAGAGATGAATCCTTATTTCATAAGGTATATCCTTTTTTTGTTTTCTAATTTAAATTTTTTTGTAGATTCCACTACAGTTCTGTGGAGTCTCACATCTAACGGTATGGAAATAACATTCGTACAACAGTCCTGCAAACAACTAGTATATATTATATACTAACCAACCAAATTAAGCCTGTCATTGAATCAGTCACATATTTATGTCAGGTTGTCATTCCTCAATGTCAGTTCTGTTATAGCACCAAAAAGTATGATCTAACTTTAAACAAAACTATACAGAATAAGAAAAACAAAAGAAAACTAACAATTTCCCGACAGTACGAGGTTTAATAGTTGACAGATACAGCCTTTCCTGTAATTAAACAATAACAATTTGTGAGCTAACTATAAAAAATAATTATAAAATAATACAAAATGAACGCGATGATCATGTAAAACATACGACTGGATGTACTTCCATCAAAAGACTGTCATGAACTTCTTTTGACAATGGCTCGCGTCGAAACAACGGTGCAAGTGACACTCCTTGTTTGCAGAAAAATGGCAAGACATTAAGCACAGATGATGTCTGCATTGTATCAAATCTCTCAAATTCTCCGTCCATCTTTCGTTTCTTATCAAAATATGAGAGGAAACGATCCGACTCGCGTTTCTTCTTAAGTTGTACTGCCTGAAATAATGCCAGTTATACATGAATCTATAAGTCAGCCAACCTGTATTTATACAAAACCATTTCTTCAACTGAACCTCTTCCTCTCTTTTCCTCTTTTCACGTCTTTCTTCCTCTTCTTTTTTCTTTTTTTTACGCCCCTCGTCTTCTTTTTCCTTTTTTTGTTTCCTAACTTCCTCTTCTACTCTCCGTCGCTCTTTTTTTTCTTCTTCCTCTTTTTTTCTTTCCTCCTTCCTCCGCAGATCCTCTTTACGCTTCTTTTTTTTCGCTTCTTCTTGTTCTCTTTTTAGTTTCTCCCTCTCCCTGCAACTTTAAAATTCTATTTGTATCTCCCAACTTCTTCAGTAATAAGTAATAAGCAACAAAATGTAAGCTACAAGAGGGTGAAATTTAAACCCAAGTTCTTCGCTTGAATATTTGAATTGTAAATACTAAGTGATGAAATGAATCAGAAAAGTCAACGAGAAAATCGTACTTCTGCGCTTCCTCCTTTTTCCGCTTTTTCTCTTTCACAGTAGCCTCGCGGTTTTTCTGAAAGTGTCGAAACTTGAAAATTTCTAAATTTTTGAAAATTCGAAGTTAAAAATTTGAAAAATTATAGTTCCAAGTACAAAAGAGAAAAAATACCGTTGCAGCTACTTTTTCTTTACCACACTAAAAACTATTTTCTATCTCAACTTTTGAAGTAAAGGTTGTATTAGAATACAAATTTATTTGTTTAAAAGGAAAAAATACAAACATAAACGATGAAAACCAGCAGTTGATAATCGCCACTCAAGCAGTTAGAACTTATGAAAAACTTAGAAAGAACCAATTTAGCTCTGATCTAATTTCAAATTTGATTAAGAATGTTAATAGAATAATCCTCCGCGCAAAGGACTCATAATACCGCCACCATTTTCTCTGCGGCAATCCTTCTCCGTTCTTTCATTCTCTTTTCTTTCTCAGTTAACTGCTTTACCATTATTTTTCGATGACAGCAGACAGATATATTTCCTTGTGCCTCTTTTTTCACAAAATCTCCAGTAACAGAATCTGTATCATTTGTTTCAAATATCTACAATACATAGACAATTCCGGTCAAAATATGCAAGAATTGTCAATTTAAATTACTTCTATATTTTCTATGAAATCAGATCAAAAAACTCTAAAAGACGTTTTTATAACATCTGCTAACGTCCATATGCTTAAATTCCTTGAGAAGTTCTGGAAATTCATACCTTATCGATGTTTTTTCTACTTGCAGATGAAGCTTTCCGACAATCGATCTGAAAACACCACTATAAAATAATGCAACGAGTTCTTATTTTTGAATTAGATTTGGTTACTTCACCGGACGTGGAAGTATAAAGAATAAATTGTGACAATAGAATTTTCCGAATTACGAGTGATAGCTTAACTGCGATAGATTAAAGGGAATGATTAGGTAACATCGAACTCACCTCAGACAGCTCCACTGAATTACTGGGGAATTAGTAAGGCAGCAACAAGCACATTTCCAACATTCAATTCATTTTTAAAAGTTTTTTCCGGAAACAAGATATAAGAATAATTATCATACTCATACTTACAATATAGGCGACAGCTTCGATCACTTCGCGAACAAAATCATCAATTTCACCGACTATTACTTCATCACTGCACTGCTGTACTTCGTCTAAACATCGTTCCGCTGAATTCTTCAC